CACACTGTTATCTATAAACATGGATTAAAGTACATCACGTGCTTCAAAACAGCAGCAGCCAGATTACAGCTTGAATTTTGTCTGTACTTTTGTCTGTTTTGTAGAATAACAATGTCACATAGTGAGGAAAGTGTATGATTTTTGGAGACACAGCTAACACAGTGTTAATTGGTGGGGTTTAAGCTTTCATTACATATTAGCAACAGTTTATAAAAAAACATGGTTCTTCAAGGGTTCTTTAGTAAAAGGAATGACCAAGAGTTCTATATAGAACCATTTCATGCTTAAATGATGCTCTGTATGGTGAAATGGATCTGTATGGAGAATGTGTTGTATGTGTTGGATTCTATAAAGCACCAAAAGGGTTTTTCTATTATAATTTCAAGCTTGTAACAGTAGAATAACCCTTTTTTGTGCTATACAGAATCATATACAACAAATTCTCCTTCTATCCGAAGAAGAATTTCACCATGCAAAGAAACTTTTAAGCAGGGAAATGCCTCTATATATAACTTATCGTTCTAAATAGAACCATTCCCTTTACAAAAGAACCCTTAAAGACATCTTTATTAGCCTCATATCTCCAGTGAAAAACTAAAGAACTTCAGACACCAAAAGGTGACTAAGAAGGTTTAAGAAACTACCGATTTGATAGTTACTTTGTGTTTTTACACTCATCTAAACACATTTAAACGTGCTTGAGTATTTTCTTTGATTTGTTGGTAAAATGGTTTATTTCTGTAGACTGCATTATTTTTATTCTACTTTTTATTATCTGTATCCATAGTTTTTAAATATTTCATAACGTGGTGCTGCTGGATCTTTTTGGTCTTTTACAACTTACAAAAAAAAATCTATATTTTGTACTGTAAAAATATCTTGGAAGTTTTGAAATATTATTATATTTTTCCCAGATTATATTTTTGCTATTTACACCTTCACTGTATATGTGCTGACTAATGCCATGTCAATGCTCAGCCATTTCTGAAATAAAATGCCATCATGTCCAGCGTGATCTCACATGCAGTAACATGTAATGGCTATGAAAATTTCACATGAAAGATCATACTTTTTTGCACACTGTTGCCCACAACTGCTTTGTTTAACAAAACTACAGACACAGTTCAGGCTACACACTGGCTGCTACTGCTTTTTTTAGCTATACAACGTGCTTATGGCAATAATGCAGTAATCTTCCCACAGTTGAAGTGAATCTGAAATCAAAACTGACCTTCCCTGCCTATTTTTTTATTTCGCTTGTCATATTAAGCTTGATTCATCATATATATTTTAAGGCAACGTGACCTTTGCCCTGCCTCCAAAACATCTTCTGATTTTTGATTGCCCCCGCCCACTGGAGCATGGTGATGTAATAACATTAACCAATAATACTGGCCTCTCCTCTGAATGCATATTTATGCCACCGTGAAGCAAAACTAACTAGTCTTTAGTGCATTTAATAGCAAAATGACCATCTGAATGACACTAGCATGATACAACGTTCATCATTTCTACTGTAAATCTGTCACACTGGTTCCTGTTACCTCAGTATGTGTGTATGTGTTGAAGGTCGTAGCAGGTTTGTCAGTATTAAATAACGACTCTGCTTTTCCGTCTCTGTGCCTGTATGCCTGATGGGTAAATCTGATTGATAAAGCTTCTGTATTTATCAGAGCACAGACTGGACATATTGATTTTGGCTGATCTTGTGGAGATGCTGCACGCTAATCTAAACTGACCTCTAACCCAGTACAGCCTTAATGGTCACAACCACTTCACTGTTTGCTCTTTCTATCTGTCAATCTGTCCTCCTATACGTCTATCATCCATCTATTTATCAAGCCGTCCATCCATTTATTTATCTTTCTAACCATTTATCCGTGATCCATCCACTCCTCTGTCTGTCTGTACATTACTATTCATCTCTCTGTCTCTTTGTCTGTCTGTCTCTCTTTGTCACTGTCTGTCTGTCGGTCTGTCTGTCTATCTGTCCATCCACTCATTTATTCATCTATCCATCCACCAGTCCATTCCATCATTCACCCGTCTAAACATCCGTCTGTCCTTCTATCCACTCGTCTATCTATGCCCCACCTGTAAAAATGCTCAATCCATCTATTGATCCACTCATCAATCCACCCGTCTGTGCATTTATGATCCAAAAATCTTTCCATGTGTCTGCCTGTCTGCTTATCTGTTCATTTATCCATCCATCTATCCCCCATCTATTTATTTAAGCACTGATCATCATTCAGCTCCTATCTATCGCTATATCTGAGACCGTCCGTATGTCATTCATAACTGTATCTGTTTATCTATTAATTTATCCAGCCATCGATCTGTCTTTCTATCAATATATCTATCCATCTTATCACTCTCTGTGCGTCTGTCTGTCCATCACTTTATCCATCTGTTCATGTATCTAACCATCTTTCCATCTAAGTTACTCTGTAACTGTAGTGAGACTTTAGCCAATCTATTGTTCAAAGCTCAGGCTGAAACTCTTTTTGCCCAAAACTGGTTTAAACACCTGAAAGGTTTGTAATTTTCTTTCCTAGTTGTTTTATTATTTTGTGATCCAGTGTCATCCAGAGGAGAATAGGTTCCTCTTTTGAGGTTTGGTTTCTCACATTTGGTACTTCCTCTTGTTCTTGTAAAGCTGACAGTAACTTATGTAAAAAGCACTATAGAGAGATACAGAATCTGAACTGAATTGAATTGGATTGAGTGCAACAAGGGCAAAAAATGTGTGGCCTTTAGCTTTATATCCAAGATAGCACGGTCACTAATGTTTTTGAAAAACTGACAAAGAACATGTTTATTTGTATGATAAAAAGCTTTTGTGCAGCTGTGCGTCCCCAAGCATTTGGCAGAATGTACAGTCTTTTTGTCTGAGCTTCGAAACTTGAGTAAAAGATGCAACAAATGTTTTCTAGAGTGAACTCTGATAAAGACCTGGAACAGAATGGCCACATCGCACCAAACACTGTACTTTGTCACAGTATATTTTGTTGCTTTTGGCGCACGGCGGAGCAGCCAGTCATCCAGCTGACTGAACATTACCCACTGGCTCAGCGTCCTGCTGTGGCCAAAATGGAAAGGGTTTATATAACACTGAGCCAGCCTGTGACGCTGGCAGAATGATGGCCTAAAGACAAACAGGGTTATGAATAAGAATATTGATCAGCATGATCAATGAGAGTCCACAGGCCTGAATCTAATATGCCCACACTGATTAGTTCCAGTGCTAGAACCTGTGGTCAGAACGGTGCTGGATTCTATTTATAGACATCTGAGAATTAATTTAGCACTTTTACAGCCTATAAAGGTCCATCTGTTTTATTTCAGTTAAATTTTACTGGTGTAGCTCTTTTTATAACCAAAGCACACAGCAAATTTACAACAGTCTGGGCCGCCGTGAGCAAAGCAAGCCTGACAGCTTCCTGGGAAGAAACAGAGGTGATGTGTATAATAGTAAACAGGTGCTGTGGACAGATGGCGACACAGGTGCAGAGATATTTGGAGATGTTTGTTGGAAAAGACTCGTATTACAGGCGTATTATGAAGCTTTTTTGCCAAATACGACAAGCATCCCTGTTACTCAAAGAAGATACTTTGAGATGTGCAGTCATGCATTCATTCTTACAGACTACTTTATTTATACTTCAGTCAGTAGATAACTTACAGGGCACGTGATTTCCAGTGCAGGCAGAGATACACATATAATATTGTGTGGGTGTGAGATTAGTAAGAATAAAAAAGGTTGATTATTATTGAAGTGATACAATGGAAGAAACTTTCACCTAGTCTTTGTCCTCTAGAGTTTCACAAACACTGGACTGTGGCTCTTATACCTTCAGCTGTGTGCAAATGTGTGTTTACGGATCATTTACACAATTGTTTCATAGTCAGATTTGAAAACACATTTCAGACATTTAACTTTCTTAGACTTTAGACAAAAATCATTTTGCTTTGAGTCACTACCAAAACAGTCATTACTGAAACATTTTCAAGTTTCAGCAATGTTATGGTTGTTTTGGTAGTGACAATTTCAGCTAATTTTGACCAAAACTCGGTACACGACTAGCAAACGCAGCTTTACACATTTACTTCAAAACAGTGGGATCTAATTCCTCACCATGTGGCCATGAGGGACAGGGATGCAGTCTCACTTCCTGCTTTAAAATGCAGGGGTGGCTAAAATAAAGCCCCGCCTACAGACTAAAATTCTGTTTCAGTAGTGACATAAAAATGTGAGACAGCATTTTTTAACGTAAAAATTAAACTCATGATAAATCTTAACCTTCTAACTAAAGATGTTTTTACAAACAGTGTTAAAAAAATACAAAAAATGTAAGTATGATTTTCACAAGTGGAAATTTAGTGGTTAGGGTTTGAGACAGACACCTCCCATAGAAAGGACCCCATAAAGGTCAAATTTGTATATATTTATTTTATTATTATCTCTATTAATGCCTTGGGTTTAAATGGATCACAACATAATCCTTGTAAATATACAATACTTTCTTTTAATTTTGTAAAAGTTTTTTTGGGGTGTGCAGTTTAAACTAATTCAGTAGAGTGGTCCAAATACCTACAACAGTCCATGCATCATTATATTTTTTATATAGTTTACATACTTTTGTACGCCAGCTTTTATGTTTTGTTTTATTTTCCACCAAAATAAACAGCAGTTGTGCATTAAAATGTGCAAAAATATGTTCCCTGTAGAGGGTATGTTCAATTATTTTCACTTAGAGAAGCAACAATAGCATGTAATTTGGCCAGTTGTTTAGTTTATTAACTTCATTCTTGTTGCTGCTGTTTTCTCAGTCATTTCTGGATCTTCTATGGTTCCATTTGGGATCTGTTAAATTTCATATTTCCTTTGTTTCTTTGTGATAATCTGCCCATACGTGGTTTAGATCTAACTTTAAAAGAGGAACAAAACCATAACTCAAACTGAACTGCTAAATTAACTCTGTGCATGTGTGTTTCAGATGCTCCGTCCACAGAGCAGCAGGAGTTGTTCCTGCAGAAGCTCCAGCAGTGCTGTATACTCTTCGACTTCCTGGACACAGTCACTGACCTGAAGAGTAAAGAGATCAAGCGGGCCACTCTGAATGAGCTGGTGGACTACGTGTCCACTAACAGGGGCGTACTGGTGGACTCGGCCTACCCTGAAATCATCAACATGGTAGGACTGCAGCACATGGACAACAATTCATATTGCTGCTGTTTAGCTATTAACTGCATTTGCCTTATTCCTTACAATAAATAAAAAATTCACTAGTGAGCCTCTGAGGGGACACCTTGATTCATCTATGCACCTGTAGAGATCCGAGGTTGGTCAGGATGCTCAGAATGCTGTGTGTAATGGCAAACAAGTGTTACAGACTGTAGTCCATCTCTTTCTCTGCATACGTTGTTACCCTGTTCTTCAGTGGTCAGGACCCCACAGGACCACCACAGAGTAGGTATTATTTGGGTGGTGGATCATTCTCAGCACTGCAGTGACACTGATGTTGTGGTGACTCTTCTGTGAGGTACAGTTCCTTCGGAATTATGGATTGTTGTTTTTGTGGGGGTCCTGACCATTGATGGAGGTAAACGGGGGCTAATAGATTATACAGAGAAACAGATGAACTACATTCTGTAATTGTAGAACTACAAAGTGTATCCGTATGGTCAGTGGAGCTGATAAAATAGACCATTATTAATGTGAATTATTGAATTCATACACTAATTTATCAAAAACTCTCTTAGAAGCTCATCTGTGTCATTGGACAGAATGCTCACACACACATTCTCTGAGCGAGTTCTTCCAGCCAGGTTTGTGAATTGTTGATTTTGTTTGAAAGGGTGTTTTGAGTAATTGCTTGATTAAATATAGCAGGTGTTAAGTGTGTGTGTGTGTGTGTGTGTGTGTGTGTGTGTGTGTGTGTGTGTGTGTGTATACAGTCTTAGGCAAAAGCGTAAATAAGTAAACACCTCCTCTAAAGAGGCCACAGTTCTCCACATTTTAATGCACATTAACTTTTTATTTGCTGGATTTATGATAAGATAATCCTTTATTAGTCCCACAACTAGGGAAATTCACAGTGCTACAGCAGCAAAGGGATAAGATTAAGTTTAAGATTAAGTGACCCGTATTTGTCCCTCAATGGGGAAATTTCACCTCCGCAGTCTAACCCATCCGTGCAGTGAACTAGTGAACTAGTGAACACACACTGGGGGGCAGTGAACTGGCCACCTTCCGGTCACAAGGCTGGTTCCCTCACCTCCAGCCCACGACTGACCCAAAATTAGATAAAATGAGATTAGATTAGATTAAGTGACCCTCATTAGTCCCACAATGGGTAAATTCCAACTCCACATTTAACCCATCCGTGCAGTGAAACACCCACATACACACTAGTGAATGCACTCGGCTCAGGGGATTGAACCGGTGACTGACTACAACTGCCCCAAAGTCGTAGTCGGCAGGATTTTAAGCAAGGCTTTTGAGAATAGAAATATGAAGAAGAGAATTATCAGACAAGGTATTCTCATTAATTAATTACTTAACAAGATTAGTTTGTTACTTATTACTGTGTCGGCTGTGTGTATGTGTGTGTGTGTGTGTATGTGTGTGTGTATATATATATATATATATATATATATATATATATATATATATATATATATATATAAACACAAAAGATAGAAAATATAAACTTCTTCAAAAAATATAAAATCCTTCACAAAAATAACAATATTAACAATATAAATAAAAGATAAAAAAAATATTGGGTGGGAAAAATAAACCATAAAATTTGCCCTGTGCAAAAGTTATGGCACATTTATGCTTTGTTTTATTTTTCTCCAATATGGTAAAATGAGCAGGCAGCTGGCATCCCTTTTGAGGACCTTGTAAAATGGCGTTTAAAGTAAAGCCAAATGAAGCTCCACTTCACATTTACAGACGCTGAATCATCTATATTAAACTTGCTGTTACGTCAAGCAGGAGACAATTTACTCAGGCTGCAGTAAGTCTCCAAAGGTCTTCATGATACTGTTTATACAGTAATACAGCATTCTCTTTATATAATAGTTGTATTAAGGAGGAAAATCTTCAAGCGAATTTTAGTGCTTAATGAAGCCAGTACTTTCATTCTGGAAATGCAGACTGCATCACAAGAGAACATTTAAAAATGGTGTAAAAGTGCAAGACAAATAAGAGCACAAGACTTGGCAGCATAAGAAGTTTTGTTAAATTAGTAAGTTAAATAAAGGCATACAGTCAGTGCCAAACACTGAGCAGGAATTAGACCAGTGCCAGGAGAGCTAATGATACAAAGTAGTTTTTCTGCTTCATAACTGTAGTTATATTTGAGTTGGCTCCTAGCTTAATAATTTATAGTATGATCCTGTTTCCAAAAAAGTTGGGACACTGACGAATTCTATTGTTTTTTGAAAAAATATAATCCCATTTTGAATTTAATGCCTGCAGTATGTTCCAGAAAAGTTGGGACAGTCATGTTTACCACAGTACTTCATTACCTCTACTTTTAGCAACACACTGTAAGCATTTGGGAACTGAGGAGACATTTAAGGGAGATGATTTCTCGTTCTTGCTTGATAAAGAATTTCAGCTGCTCAACAGTTAGGGGTCTCTTTTGTCATATTTTCATTTCATAATATGCCAAATGTTTTCAGTGGGTGACAGATCTGGACTGCAGGCAGGCTAGTTTAGCACCCAGACTCTCTTACTACTGAGCCGTGATGTTGTAATATGTACAAATTAGGCTTGGCTGTGTCTTGCTGAAATAATCAAGGCCTTCTTTGAAAAAACCATCCACTGGATGGCATCATATGTTGCCCCAAAACCTGTATTTATTATTCAGCATTAATGATGCCTTCACAGATTTGCACCCATGCCATGCCATCCACAGTTTCCAAACAAATTTTGATTCATCAGGCCACAGGACATTTTTCCACTTCACCTCAGTCCATCTTAAATAAACTCAGGCCCAGAGAAGGTGGCGGTGTTTCTGGATCCTGTTTATATATGGGTTCTTTTTTGCATTTGAGAGTTTATCTTGCATTTGTGGATGCAGCGATGAACTGTGTTCATAGACAGTGTTTTTCAGAAGTGTTTCTGAGTCCATGCAGTGATGTCCACTACAGAATCATGTCTGTTTTCAATGCAGTGCTGCCTGAGGGCCCAAAGATCATGGCCAGCCAATATTGTTTTTTGGCCTTGTCCCTTGCGTACAGAGATTTTTCAAAATTCTCTGAATGTTTTAATGACATTATGTACCGTAGATGATGAAGTCCCCAACTTCTTTGCTTTTTTATGTTTACAGATGTTATGCTTCAATTACTGCACTACTTCCCCCACAGTTTTTTTACAGAGTAATGATCCCTTCCCCATCATTACTTCTGAAATACTCAGCCTCTCTGAGATGCTCTTTTTATACCAAAACTACCTTCAAAAAAAACAACTTCAGTAAAAGTACAAAAGTTTTAGTACTTAAGTTCTGAGTAACTGCAGTGGAACTTTTTAGTAAGTTCAGCGTCCATCAGCTTCAGAAGTGAAGTTTGTATGGCCCTGTTTTTCTCTATTTTTGTTTTGGTCTGAAATAAAAGTCAGAGATGTGATCAGTCACAAAGCAGTACAGATGTTGTCAACTAAAAAAACTGAATAAAATCCAACTCATAAAGGAATTGGTAACTACATACAAATAGCTAAAATGTAACTGAGAAAAAAAAAGATTCCTTTGCTCACCAATATACTTGAGTAGAAGTGATGGTATTACAATTTGAAAGTACAGCTACATCAATATTTTACTCAGATACATGTACTTGAGTAAATGTAGCTATTTATTACCAACCTTTGATAGTAGATACTGGACAATTCATGGTAGATACCAAATAATTCAGAGAAGATACTTTATAGCATATAAATTTATAGCAGTTATTAAATGATTCAAAAGTAGTTACTGAATAATTAATCGTCACTAATAAATAATTTGGTCAATAATGAAGAATCTTTAGTAGATACTGAATAATTCAGAGTAGTAATGTTATTAATAGTCATTACTGAATAATTTATAGTATCTACAAAATAATTCATAGCAGATACTGAATAATTTTTAGTACCTACTAAATAATGCATAGCAGATGCTGAATAATTAATTATAGGTACTGAATAATTTATAGTAGGTACTGAATAATTCAGAATAATAATTTTGTTTAGAATAATTAATAATAGTTTCCGGATAACTTAGATAATATGTTGAATTAAGTCTTTAGATTAATAGCCCAGTAGTTTAAGGTGTTAAACAGCTGGGTTGAATTTCTACTCAAATGTTTACAATACAACTTAGTTATCAAAAACAACCACACACAAAAAAGAGAGAAGAAATTAAAAGACCCCCCTGACCCCACCCCTCCCTCACTGTGCTGAAATATCACCCTGTCATTCACACAGACAGCAGCTGATCTGAGTTGTTTGGAGCTCTGCCACTCCAGGGCATCTCTCCCCTCTCCAGTGTAGCGGTCAGATCTCTGGGGAGGTGCTGTAGCACTGTTCTCCATATTCTAGTATAAATGTCATGATTATCTTTGACCTGAGGACTCTTCAGAATTGTAATTATTTCTTCAAATATGTACCAGTGTGTAACTAGAGGAGATTTTTCATGCTCTGTTTCTATACTTGGTTTTTAACAAACTGCATGCTGTCGTCTTGCTGGCTCTATGCCCGAAGAAGCTGTCAGTAAGCAGCAAACAAAGCTCCATCAGCTATGGAGTGACGCTGGTACGCCACATAGCACAACATTTCCAATTATGGCAGTCTTTATACACAGAACTTCAGCATCTGAGCATGCTTCTGAACACCACGTGCAGTCATGCAGTGCTCCTGGTCAGTGTTTTCTGATGCTTCACAGATTTCATTGTGGTTTCTAAGAAACTTATTTTCATGAACCGTATTTTGGCAATTTAAAATGGAGCTGCAAAGGAGAATTTTTTTTATTTTTTTTCCAGTGTTTCAGATGTAAATAGTCATTCAGAGTGGTTTGGTGTGAAATGGTCGATTGTAGAGGGTGTAGTGTAGAGTGGTGGTGATAGGAACCAGGGGTCGCCATGACTACAACACAAATACAGAAAAAACTCTGCTACAAATTTATTTTAATATACATTTTGAAATCCATT